AGAGAAATTACAAGAAAAAGAATGGAAAGAAAACTTGAGTTTATAATATACTAAAAGGGCAAAAAATTAAAAATGGGTCAGATTATGTTGTCTAATAATACCTATTTGGGTGCTAAAGCTACAAAATAAGGCCAGAGACAAATTTTAGTGGATGGGAGCAGATGTTTTGCATAAAAAAAGCTCAGGGTTCAATCTTTGTCATCACATGGTCCCTAAAAATGCTAGGCCCGAACCACCCGGACCACCATCTGCCCACAGGTGCACGCCGTTCACCAACTGCTACCGCTGCCTTCCCCTCCCGCCCCAGGTCTGTGAACATCCCAGACCTGCCATCCCACCGCCAGGACCAGCCGGGACCACCATGCTGTCGGCAGGCACGCTTCATTCGCCAACGGCACTTTGACTCCCTCCGCCCTCCTCCCAGGTTTGTGAACATCTTGGATCCGCTATCCCTGAGTCTGCGACCTTGGACCAGACCCCTGCCTCTCCTGCTGCTTGGACTGCCCCTGGACCACCACCATCCTGCCTGCAGGCTCTGGCCATTAGCCAATGCCACCGCCTTGTCCCCCCATACCCCCTATCCCTTCTGGCCTCAGGTCTGTGTCCCCCCCCCCCCCAACCTTACAGCAGACAGGGGACATGGCCTCCACAGCAGGAGGGGGGGCGTGTCTTCTACAGTAGTGGAGGTGGCCTCGCCTGGATCTGTGGCCAATCAGCCGAAGTTATTTTCCCTAGTCCCAGCAATCTGGAATCACTTCTCAATCTTCATCACCTAAATCAGTAAGTAACATCCTAGCTATCTCAAACACAATAGTCCACTAGTCTATTTCAGTTGCATCAAAATACTAGTGAACACAAGAAGCTTTACAAAGCCCAATGTAAAAGATCACATCCTCTGAAAAAAAAATCACTAAAGTCTCCACATAAGACACAGAGGAACACAGACAAAAAAAAAAAAAGGCGACCATCATGATCGAGCTCATTCAGATTCCTTTCTTGCTACAAGAGGGAACAGTGACAGTGAACTGGAAGGTCACACCTCTATACAACCACAACACAAAGAAGAAACAGCGCAAATCCCCACCACAAGGAAAGGATGATGAAAAGAGTCCAAGAAGCCTCAATAGGCGTTACCCACAAATATGAGTTCTCCCGCAAAGAATTCAGAGATGAAATGTTGAAGATGTTCAATGAACTCAAAGAAACAGTGGAACAGACATCCAGTAAATTAAAGGAGGGCATGAAAGAAATAATGGAATGGAAGCCAAGAACATACAGTAAGAAATGAGAACAGAAATTGGAAAGCTTCGCACAGAAGTGTCATGAATAAAGGATTTGGTAGATGAAATAAAAAACTCAGTGGGTTCCCTCAACAGTAGAATGGCTACAGCTGAAGACAGAATCAGTGAGCTTCAGGAAGCTTACAGAAAACAACGTACAATCGGAAAAGACCTCAAAATTGCTCTAAGGTGAATCAGAGACCTAGGGGATAATTTCAAGAGGAACAACATTGGAATCATCAGAGTACCAGAAGGACAGGAAAGAAACCCTAATGAAAAAGCCACAGTTAAAGAAATCATTGCTGAGGAGTTACCAGAGCTGGAGAATGCAGGCATTCAGATTCAAGGAGCCCAAAGGGTGATAGCTAAAAGAGACCCTAATAAGACTCCAAGACATATTATAGTCAGAATGATAGATGTCACAGATAGAGACACAATACTGCAAGTAGCAAGGTCAAAGAAGGAAATCACATACAAAGGAGCACCTTTGATTTACAGCAGACCTATCAGAGGAAAGCCTCCAAGCCTGAAGACAATGGTGGTATATAGTAAAAAAAAAAACTCACTGAAATGAATGCTTCACCAAGAATACTTTATCCAGCTAAATTCTCACTCAAACTTGAAGGAACAATCCACACTTTTATGGATTAAAAAACAGTTCAGGAACTTTATAGACTCAAAAACAAACCTAAAAGAAGGACTAAAGGGGCTACTGTAAGACAAGAAAAGCCCTACAAGCACAACAAAACCCTACAGAAAGATGGCATAAAACCCCATGACAGTAATCTCTCTCAATGTCAATGATCTAAATGCACCAATTAAGGAACACAGAGTGGCAAAATGGATCCAGAAACTGAACCCAACATTCTGTTGCCTACAAGAAACACATCTGAACAGAAAAAACAAAAAAAAAAGACTCAAAGTATGAAAAACAATCTTGCAAGCAAACAATTCCCTCAAAAAACCTTGGTTGGCTCTACTAGTGTCTGACAACATAGATCTCAGGTTGAAAAGATCAGAAGGGTCAGCGAAAGATATTGAGCTACCATTTGACCCAGCAATACCACTTCTGGGAATATATCCCAGAGAGCCAAAAAAAATTGGTAGAAATGACATCTTCACTTGTATGTTCATTGCTGCACTGTTGACAGTAGCCAAAATCTGAAAAAGACTCGAGTGCCCAAGAACAGATGACTAGTTAAAGAAACTCTGGTACATTTATACAATGGAATACTATGCAGCTGTTAGAAAAGATGAAGTGATGAAATTTACATATAAGTGGATCAACATGGAAAGTATTATGTTAAATGAAATAAGTCAGAAAGAGAGGGACAGACATAGATTGCACTCATCTGTGGAATGTAAAGTATCAGAATGGGAGACCAACACCCAAGAATAGTATAGATAAGGACCAAGACATTTACTCCAAGGCTTGGAAGCCGGTTTCAAATGTTGGGAGAAAAGGCAGTTTCAGATAGACCAGGGAACACCAAGTAAAGGGTGTTTGGAGGGCATGCTGGGGTTGGGAGAAGCATGCCAAATGTAGACTATAGATCAAACACAATGGCCACTCAGTGCCTCTATTACAAATTACAACACACAAAAGGAAAGAGAGAACAAAAGGGAATGCCCTGCCATAGAGGTGGGGTGGGGAGGGAGGATACTGGAGGATACGGAGGGTGATAGGAAGGATACTGGGATCATTGGTGGTGGAGAATGGGCACTGGTGGAGGGAGGGGTACTTTATCATTGTATGACTGAAACGCAAACACGAAAGTTTCTAAGTCTGTAACTGTACCTCATGGTGATTCACTAATATAAATAAATAAATAAATAAATAAATAAATAAATAAAATGTTAGAAGTGGCCCCTGAGCACTGAGCTTGGAAGAGCTCTTGCTCTTGAGCATAGCAAGGTATGAAGCACAAGCCAACTAGCCAACCAAGCAACCAAACAAGCAGAAACTACAAAGCAATGCAAAAAATGGTTCAGTAAAATTTAGGACATTTTTCTTTTACGGGGAGAGAAGGATTTCTCACCGAATGCTGTGTCCAGTGTGGATGCACATCCACTGCTTCTTGATATGGGCTATATTTTCAAACACATTTGGTGTATTTTTCTACATTTGATTTTGTTTGCAAACAAGGTGTAGAAGACCACATATAGGATTTTAATATGCAATGTTTAGAATTTATAAATCTGAACATGGAAATATAAAGTTTGGCAAGAACATTGCCATCAAGTTCATTTGAGTGATTTCCTCTCAGGAGGTGGCAGGAGAATGAAGAGGACAAATAGTTTCCAGCTTAACTGTTTGCACAAACTGATTGCACAAAAAAGCATTGCTGTAAATGTCAAAATCTGTAATCATCAAAAAATTGTTGATGTATTATTTTTTCCTAGTTTTGATTTTTAAACTCCAATAGTTTTAGCATTTTTGTATGTATGTATATAAAACACATATACATATATATATGCACATATGTATGTAGCATCACTATCTCATTTAAAACATTAATGTACATATTTGACAAATAATTTTTTAAACATAAAACGACTGAAAATTTGACTCCTAAAATTTTTTGTGGTAACTGTAAATCAAGAGCGTAAATGTTAATATACAACAGGAAACATGTTATATAATTTAAACAATAAAAATTAATATAAAATGTTTGTGTATTGCTTCTATTTGAGAGTATTCTATAAGAGAAATATAAGCAGTACATTCTCTTAGCTGATATTTAAAAACAAGTGGGAGGGGCTGGAGCGATAGCACAGAGGGTAGGGTGTTTGCCTTGCACGCCTTCGACCCATGTTCGATTCCCAGCATCCCATATGGTCCCCTTAAGCACTGCCAGGAGTGATTCCTGAGTGCACGAGCCAGGAGTAACTCCTGTGCATCGCCGGGTGTGGCCTAAATAAATAAAAATAAAAACAAGTGGGCAACTTATTGGATATACCACTCAGTCTCCTCTCTTGTGGAGTGGGTAAGGGATTTTATGGTATTCAAGTCAGCAGGATGTTCCAGATTATCTTCCTATTTGGAGTACTGGGACCATTTGTCCTCCAGGCCTTAAATGCTGGTGGATCTGTGCATGTGTCTGAATATGAGTATGTGGTCAAACAATAATAAATTGATGAGGGGCCGGAGAGATAGCACAGCGGGTAGGGCATTTGCCTTGCACATAGCCAACCCGGGTTTGATTCCCAGCATCCCATATGGTCCCCTGAGCACCGCCAGAAGTAATTCCTGAGCGCAGAGCCAAAAAGAAAAAAAAAAGAATAAATGATGAAAATAGATTCCTTATTTAACATCAATTATTCAAGTCAATGCCTTACGAACTGCAGTGCTAAGCAGATGGTAAACTCGGGATCTGGTGAATGCAATACCTATGCTCTCTCCTTTGAGTTACATCTCTGGAGTTGAAGATTTTGACTTCAGTTGAATTATTAGTAGGAAAAAGAATTATAAATATACACATAAAATGACATTTAGCTATTTAACATTTTATTCCTACTGTCCACAGTAAACTCATTTTGTCATGATGGAAGATAATATTGAAGTTAAAAATGGCTTAGAATATTTTGTGTTTTAATTTCTTTAAGCCCCATAAGAATAGTAATTTATGTAAATAACAAATCAGAAGCCTAAGTAGAATGATAAGTCATCTTAGTGAGAAAGCAAACAAAGCCACCCGCTGTAGCTTGGTCTGTGTTTACCTGGAAGGTAGCTGCACAGTCTATCCATGGAGGTTAAGAAGGTAGAGTTGTGAACTTGAGCGAGCTGTTCCACCACAGACACCACCGCCACACACCCTTAAAAAGAACACAAATACTTGTCAACTGTGTTATACATGTTATACAGAAAATTGTGCTGGAGAGTAAAATCAAAGAAAGTGTGTGTGTGTGCGCGCGCGCGCGTGTGTGTGTATGTGTGTGTGTGTGTGTGTGTGTACATGGCTTTAAAGGACATTGAGAATTTGGTAGGGATACCCCAAAAACTCAATTTGGGTGTGGCATCAGAACATTGTATAAATTAAACTGTGTGTGTGTGTGTGTGTGTGTGTGTGTGTGTGTGTGTGTGTGTGTAAGCACTCAGTGGTGTTCAGGGATCACTTCTGGTGGTTCTCAGGGAACGTTTTGGGGTTCCAGGGATCAAATGCAGGTAGACCACATGCAAGGCTTACCCACTATACTATTGCTCCAGGTGCTGAAACTGCATTTTTAGTTGTATTATAAGTAAAGATGCCTAAATAAAAATTGGATGTAAAACAAAATCCCGAATCTCCAATTTTAAATGAATCTCCAATTTTCAAATAGAAGAACTCTTGACTGCCACTTTCTTTTAAAATCTTATGTGCTTATGCAGCATGAGTTGTAGTTAAGCATTAAGTGTTGTATGAAGTTTGTAGGCTTTAGGGCTAGAAAGACTGGTTGTTAGTTCAGTTTTGCCATATGTAAACAATGTGACTTTGGGGAAATCTTTGAATTTTGCTCTGTTTCAATTTCATTTTAATCAAAGGGGACAAAAAGACAACATTTTAATGCAAGAGAATAGCAACCAGCCAAGAGAATAGCAACTCAGTAGATGAAATTTTCCTTCCCCTCGCCTCCTTTCCCCCCTCCCCTCCCCTCCCCTCCCCTCCCCTCCCCTCCCCTCCCCTCCCCTCCCCTCCCCTTCCCTTCCCTTCCCTTCCCTTCCCTTCCCTTCCCTTCCCTTCCCTTCCCTTCCCTTCCCTTCCTTCCCTTTTTCCTTCTTTAGCAAATGCCCCACAATGAATGGGCTCATTCCTATCCCACACATTCTCAACCTGTAACTTGGATTCAGATATTTAATCTTAGAAAAATGGTCAAAATTGCTAAGCATTTGAAGTCAAAAGACCCGGAATTGGGTCCTACCCTTGAATCTTGGACTTGCTTTCATTTCCTCACTACAAAGCAGGTAATAATATGTTATAATATGTTTTCATTGTGCTACTGCGATAGCTCAGGGCAACCAATAGCTAACAAGGCAACCAAATGTGCCTTTGAAATGACATAGTTATTGCAAAATACTATTTTCCCAACCATCTACAAAGTACTATGCTTGAAAGTATATGCCAATAGAATTACTGTCTAGAAAGACTCTGATTATGTAAGGAATACATTCCCTCCAGTTACCTTGCTTTATGTGTGAAAATCCAGACCTACTACACATTGACACTCTGGGAGGTTTTATTTCTAGTGTGTATCTCTTCAACTTCTGAGGAATCCCAAAACTACTTTTGTTTTAAATAACAAAGGTGGCGATATTTTCTTTGACACAAGGGGATCTCTTGTGTTGGTCAAAGATCTCTAAATTTGGGGCTAGAGCTATAATACAGTGAATATGGCATTTTCCTTGTACACAGCCAACCCAGGTTTGATCTCTAGCATCTTATATGGTCCCTCGTGCCTGCCAGGAATAATTCTTGACTACAGAGCCAATAGTAACTCCTAAATATGCAGGCTGTGCCCCAAAAGCCAAAAAAAAAAACTCTAAGTCTGGAATGGGAAGTTTATTTGACTCAATGAGATGAGTGATTGCTGATTTTTCAAGCCTTCTTTTAGAAGTGAAAAAAAAGCTTAGATATAAAATGAAGATATTTCAGGGTGCCTGGCCTTGTTGTAAGCTCACTATGATTCATTGCTCAAGAAACCAGGGACCAAAATTCACAAGCAAAGTGTCATTAAAACCCAACTCGCACCAGGACTCTTTGAAAGAAGGTGATTGTTTACAGATATTAGCAGTACCATTGGGCATTTCTAAGTGTAAAGAAATAAAAATTTCTCCCCAATGATAGATTGTATATGAACAATGGGAACTTCTACCTCTCTTGACATGGAAGCACATACTTGGGCCGTGCATGTTCTGTATTCTCACCTCGGCAAATATGGGCTCCCCAAACCAGATAATACCTATCTGCTGAGGCATTTATCTGCATCAGCTATTAAGGTTGATTAGATGAGATTTTAAAATGTTTTAAATGATTGCTTTTATTATGAAGTAAGTGACATACAGCATTATATCAGCTACAAATATATGGCTTAATGATTTGGCATTTCTATCTGTTACAAATGATTACAATAAGTCTAGTTAACATCTGTCATTATATATAGTTACAAAATTGTTCTTATTGTGATGAAGACAGCTAAGACAGTTTATTGTGTTATTAACTTTCAAATATGTGATGTACTATTTGGGGGAGCATTCCCAGCAGTGCTTAAAGCTATCCCAGCAACACTCAGGTGGCCATACAGAGCCTTACACATGAAGACATATGTTCTACCACAGAGAAAAAAAATCTGGTCACCATAACCATACATTATAACAGCAGGAAATTTATTTTGCAACTTAAAATTTGTGCCTTTAACCTCCTTTCACCCATTTCTCTCCTTCTCACTCCTATTCCCTCCCTTGCCACTATAAACCACCAATTTGTTCTCTGTGTGATTCAGTAAGTTCTTTAACCTAAGCAGTGCAGTGATGGCTTTGTCACATTGTGATGAATTTCAGTATCTGATAGGTACTAGCATTTTATAGTCTAAAAAGTATTTTCATATATAGTGGTTTATTTTTAAAATAACTTTTAAAATGCAGACACAATACAATCTTGTTTTAAACATTTTATTTTATTTTTTATTTTTTAATGTAGGAGTACTGGTATTTATTCAGCTACTGATTAGCTGATTGAATTGTGCATGAACTCCACCTTACGTTTTTTTATATATAATTTTATTTATTGAATCACCGTGAGAGCAGTTACAAAGCTTTTGGGTCTAAGTCTCAGTCATACAGTGAAATACCTGTACCTTCATCAGTGCCCATTGTCCACCACCAAATACCCCAGTATACTCCCATCCCACACCCTCCCCCTACCTGTGGGGCAGATTATTTCCACATTACTCTCTCTCTACTTTGATCACATTCAATATTTCAACACCAGACCCACCATTATTATTTGAGATTTTATCCCAACACTCAGATCTGCTGAAAAGGCTACAGTAGACAACTTGTGTTCTATTGCTGGTTAAGAATAACATATGATGTCATGTGACTGCAGTAGGGCCACGTGATTTTGAAATTCCAAAATTTTAACACTTAAATCCGGAGGGATTTCTGCCAAAAGTCACTGGGTTTCGAGATTTGCTCCTGAGTCTCTGGGCTCATGGCCGTTGAGCAGCTTGATCAGGAGCCAGAGAGGCCGTTTGTGGACGATGACTTGGGGTCTAGTTGGCATGGGGAGGACAGAACCGGCTCCACCCCCATCCTGTGAGGCCCAACAAGTTTTGTCACTGCGGGCCCAGACCTGACTGTCCAATGGCCTCTAGAGGATGACGGCCATCGAGCCACTAAGGGGGAGCAGGTGGAGAGACAACACCCTTTCCCACATGGGGTGGCCCGGCAACAGTAACCTACTGCAGGGTCCGGACGCATTTCTGCCAAAAGCCGCTGGGTTTCAAGATTTGTTTCTGAGTCTCTGGGATCAAGGCCGTTAAGCAACTTGATCAGGAGCCAGAGATGCTGTTCGTGGGCGATGACTTGGAGTCTCGTTGGGATGGGGAGGACAGGACCGGCTCCCCGCCATCCTGTGAGGCCCAACAAGTTTTGTCACTGTGGGCCCAAGCCTGACTGTCCAATGGCCTCTGGAGGATGGCAGCCACTGGGTCGCCGGGGGGAACAGGCCAAGGCACAAAACCTACTCCCACCTGGGTTGGCCCAGCACCGGTAACTTACTGCAAGGATCAGACACATTTCTGCCAAAAGCCACTGGGTTTCGAGATTTGTTTCTGAGTCTCTGGGATCACGCCATTAAGCAGTTCAAGCAGGAACCAGAGAGGCCATGCCTCCAATTATATAGCTGAGCCGGAGGTGGTTTGTGAGTGTGTTTCCCACATATCTAACTTTTGGCCATTTACTTTCTTGGTAAAATTTGCCCCAAGTTTTTGGGGTCTGGCCAAAGGCACAGAAGCAATTTGGGGGTATCTGGAAGTCTGACGGTGCCATCAGGCTGCTGATTCACTCGCCTCACAGGTACAGATTGACTTGATGGCAGCACCATACCCCCGTTTTAAACATTTTAAATACAGAACAGTCTAAAAGATAAACATCTTTTAAATTACCCAGAGATAAACCAATTTTTATGTCATTTACAATATATAAAAATACATTCAGCATATGTGAGTGTTTTCAACATTTATAATAATTTTTTACATCTGATTTATGCTTCTTCCAATCATCTGTTAAATTAAGTGGATCTAAATAAACTTTAATAACTACAATTGAAGCACAATTATATGTAATTATTTTGCAATATGATAAAATATGTATGTGGTTGGTTAAAGGGGAGAGACTTTGAAATTTAAAAATAAACCAACTCAAACAGTAGCTCAGACACTTAAAAATTATATGATCATGAACAAGTTATCAATCTTTCTGAACTTTGTGTGTCTGAGTACAGAGTCAGACCTTTGAGGGTGATATAGGCAGGCAGGTAGATAGCTAGGAAAGGGACCCGATGGCAGTGGAATTCCTAGGGAGTAGCAAAACCACCGAGCCCTAAGGCTGTCAGGACCCACTTTGTGAGCACAGGAATTAAGGCTCGAAAAGATTTTCACCTGGGACCCAGAGAAGGCTGCTCCCCCAACTCTCAACTCTGAGAAAATCTCCAGCAGGAACAACGGCCAGAAAAGGAATTTCAAGGAGAACCATTCCCAACTCTTCCTACCTTGGCAACCACCCTAGCAAAGCCCTCTTACCTAGCTAGAAGCCGTATGTGGGTGCAGCTAGAGAAACT